TTTAACAATAATTCTAAAAACAGGAGTGGATAAAAGTCAAATTAAACCTTGCATATTTCCAAGACAGGCCACAATCGGAGACACAGTTCTCCACTGAACACCAAGCGAAATGTCAACAGCAAGCATTTCTGTACTCTATGCACAAAACAGCTAATGACACAAGTATTTACACCAAAGGAAATTTTGCACATAGCTTTAATGTCACTTCTCTGACATGTACTTCAGGTGTCAAAGTTACCATTAGACGATGAGACACAATTATGTGGAACAGAATGTGCTCACTTTTTTTTTCAAAACACCTGACATCGCTGCATGTATGAAATGAGTGATCTACATATCCACATGAGTCTATACAATAAGTCAGAGTTTACCAATAATCAATTTCATGATCGATATAGTGCAACAATATGTTTACTAAACTTCAGAATGTCATATCAAATGTCAATGCAACAGGAGACGACATAGACGATTTTCTGGGACGATTGAATTTTATTTAAATTACATTCCAAGCAATAGTAGACAATGCTTGATTTGGTGATAATAATTGCTAAACAGTTCACAGTGTACAACAAAAGAGCACTTTATGTGTCAATCTCAAAATCCAATTAATGTTAGCCATTTGATCGCAAGAATTGCGAAACTGTTCTATCGCAAAATATATGTATTTTAAGAGGAAAATTGAACTGTTCTGCTATTGCTGGTAAAATACTCGTAATCTAGATGAGCTATCTCCACAAGGGTCTGTCGTAACTCTGAAATGTATCAATTCAAATTGTCATTTCACTTTATTTTGTCTCTGATAGCCTTTATATTTGTTTCAATTCAAGCATGATTCACCTAATCTTGCATCACTTCTTGTGGCACTGCTGGCCGATGACAGATAAGGAGATTGGCAGTCTCCCCAAGCAATGCAGAACATTCCACAGCGTATGTTGCCTGCAAAACTAACCAGTGTTTCAAAACTTTAATAAAGTCGAAAATAAATGAAAACAAAATACCGCTATCTAAATGTCATGCCGAATCAATTCAAACCATTGTAGGTGGACGCTAGGGGAATTAAACTCCTTACGTATGTTAATTCTCCTAACAGGCTAGCTTACATCATCATATGCCAATAATAATAATACATGTAATGTACTTTATATCCCTGCACTTAAACTGAACCACTTCTGGTCATTTTGCTCTGTTTGTGGGAGATAGACGACAATAACACAAATGAGATAGAATGAAAGGCCAAGTATTCTTGACATTTATTGAAAAAATGAGAGGCTTGTAAACCTTAAAAAATCCCTCGCCAGTTTCCTCAAACTGAAAGATTACAACAGAAAAACCTCAGAGGTCAAAGGTCAATTGGCGAGGAAAAATGATTTCAAGTTTTAGGTTACTTGTTTCATTATGTTTATAATCATGGAACTAGTCGTTGCAATACCTCTAGTGGGTGGATTTAAAACATTGTCTTTTTATGGATTGGATTATGTAGGTATCCTCCCTTGTTAAGTATATTATTGTAGAGCTTTTCAAGTGCTTTGACAAGATTTGAACTGCTGTATTTGAGTAATCCTGCTGGTCCAGATAATTTTCCCGTTTGTAATTTCTTCCAGTGTCTTTGTTCCTCCTGTTCAGTAAGTAGTTTGTGAACTTCTTGTTGACGATTTTCATATATTTTAGAGTTTTTCCTTTTAGCTTGAAAGTGATGGATCTATTTGCCTGATGGGGAGCCCAGTGTTTGATTTGATGTAACCCCTGATAACTTCCTAGAAATCTTGGGAATGGGTTTTACTATTCAACACATTGATTTCGTCTTGAAGTGATTTCAAGTGTTGCTTTTGAATGTTCTTCACATATTTTTATATGGTATATATTTATTGGATTTACAAACATGTACACTTTTCGGCGATTTCCTGTATTTTATCTTTGTCACCAGGCAGTCATTTGCAAGTTGTTCAATAGTTTGTTTTATTGGCATACAGTCAGCACCATTAAATTCTACAGCAAGTTCAATGGAACAAGGCAGAACAATTAAGTGCCCAAAATCTTCAACATTTCCACATCCATCCATCCACTACTTTCAAGCACTAACCAGTCCCTGCTTATTTCAAGTACTAGCCCATCTCAACATCAAAGTACCAGCCATAACATTAATTTAAATACACAAAAAAAAACATCAAGATTTGATGTATAATGTGTCATGTCAGTGATACACATTTATTGTAATTATTATAAAAACATGTTAAAGTGAAATAACACGTTCTTCTACCAGCCCTCCCCAAAATTGAATCAACTTTAAGAACAAAAATTGCTTCAATATGCTAGAACAACATATTACTTGAATCACCCACACAGAAATTGTTTGGCAGAAAGAAGGTACTTTAAAGGACGGTGGTCGTCGTGTCGCGTCCTGTTCGATATGGGACTCATAGCGACGTACACAACGCATGTAAAATACATTGTTTATTTACATGAAATTCGAACACGCGCTGCGCGATGACCACCGCGCTTTCATACAAAATGAGCCCTAAACATAGGCTTCAAAGTACACCAGACCACAACGGGGAGACAAGGAATTACTTAGACTAAAAGTTACAAAGCTGTAAAAAGTGTTACAATTCATAAGAGGGGGAGAGAAAAATTCAAGAAAAGGGGAAAGTGGTTGGGAATGGGTAGACATATATCAAACAAACGAGGAAACAAACTGAAGCGGACCAAGAGTCTGTTGCCACTAGGTGATGCTATACACTGAATATAATAAAATAGCTACAGGGTAATAAAACACAGAATACTGAACAGGTAAGTCTATATATGTACAGCAATTAACTAAATTTATACTGAAAACAAATTTAATAACACATTTAAATACATTTATTCACAGGGGAACATCAAATGTTACACTTCTATTGAGGATGGTGACAGCAAAAACACTTTAGTGTTCTTAAATTCTGAACAAATAATAGCTGTTGTATAATGAACCATAAGTGTATTGGTACCATAACTGTATTGTAATGATCGGTATAGGGAAATTGCAATCATTTTGTTTTTTGGTTAACTGCATCCATCCTTAAAAAAAACAATCTCACTCACAATTATGTAGCCCCGCTGTGGACTTTGTCGAGGAGACCTTATCATATGAGTGATTGTTCATCAGCATCAACTATTCACATTTTCAACTTTTTTTTGAAAACCACAAGTCTGATTGTTTTGTACTTCGCGATAATATCTTTAATTATTTAATTTTGGTGAACAATTTTGTAATATTTTCGATTATCCCAGATTTGTTCATTTCGTGATTATATCTTCAATTCTCTAATTGAAATGTGCATTGCTAACAGCGGAGCTATCGCAGCCGAGAGGCTGCTTGACTTACATTGTGATGAAAAAGACATTGTGCAAAAAAAATTGTATTGCAAGCTCAGATTCAATCTTTACATTGCATTCATGTTGTAACTTAGGG